ATGCTTGAATTTAATGTTCACTTTGAACTAAAATCCCATTTGTGTCACATTTCTAACCAGAGCTGGTGGTTGACAATGTCACCACTGCTTCACAACTAATCAGGGTATAGTTGGATATAAGCATAGACTGATCACAATGCATAAAGTGTTTTTCAGTGCAAAAACTGCTACAAACAAAATCTGTAGACACTGGATAACAGTACAGACAGACAATGGTTGACAATGAAAAGTCTGCTTCACACACTATCAAGGGAGATATCACTCACAAATAAGCAAACAGACATAAGATGACAAATATATTATTTTATTTTGACAAAAAACTTGCTGCACAAAGTGCACTGGACTGTTGACGTGGAGATTCTTGGTCAATGGAGACAACCATAGTCATTCATCAGGACAGGACATGAAGGCAAGAGGTCATCAACACTGGTACAATAAGGCTCAACTGGAGGACTGTACACAAGTAGTTGATAAAATATTATTAGTATAGGCTCTTTGACAGCTTGTATTGATTATCACGGATTTCTTACTGAATGACAAATAGGAAATACAAGTAGTTCCAACACAGTGTATTCCCATTTTCTCAATCCCTTGTGATGATGTGTTGATGTCACTGTAGGAATTCTATGAAGCTTACACTTTATGTCCCAATTCTCCAAGCCAACATTTCAATCACAAGGATATGCACTTCATCTGAACTACTCAAAGAGAACTCAATTAAGATTCTGTGATCTTATTTTATCTGGAAGAAGTTGGATCTAACTATTCCTAGCAGTATTATGTCACATCACATAAGACGTGTGGAAGGACAACTGAGAGTAATACAGGTATAGATCATATTCTTGAAACCTGTAGTATGAGGGATAACTGGGACAATTGTGAGAATCTAACTACAAATTAGCTGATCCTCACATGCCAAGGGGGATAATTCAACACAGCAAATTCAAGCACCTTAAACAATCTTCCACTGCACTCTGATGTGTATTTTGGATACATACTTTGACATTTAAATAAAAGGTCACTGAGAGAATGGGAATTCACTGCATTTCTATTGCTTTTGATTTCATAAAACCAAGGAATATGTTGTGGAAGTAATCCAGACATGCACATCAATAATACTTGCAATTCAACATTTGTGTTATGAGTCTATATACAGCATACTGACACAGAGGTAGCACTGCAGTAGTATTGAGGTAACCTGAAGCAGATCCATTTGTAAACAACATCAGAGACTGGACTTAGGAGCATGAATGTCAGTTAACATTGAGAAACACTTTCATAATTTTTATAAATTGCTTGTGATATGTTCTTATCCTGTTAAGTATACTTCATTCCAATATGGTTGATGCTATTTTGATTTACGATCAACCATACCATTATTTTACACAAAAGGAAACATGGAATCACATTCCATATCATACTGTTTGTGGAAACACATACACCACCATGTAATCCTATCTGTTTGAAGGAGTAGCACAAGGCATTTACCACACAGTATAACATACATGAGGAACATTTTCCAAACATGTAACCCACAAACAAATAATACAAATCTGGGTACAGAATTAAACATAAATTCTGGATTTATGACTTCTGTAAATACAGAATGTTTTCAACATAATCAGTGTCTTTGGTTAACAGGGGAATAATCCACGCAACACACCAATTCATGTTTGTCACTTATTTAGCAAAGAAACCAGCGATAACTGGGCCATAATTATGTCCAAACTAAAAAGTCATGTCACATTTTAATATTGATAAAGTGAGTGAGTGAGCGGGGTTTTACGCCGCTTTTAGCAATATTCCAGCAATATCACGGTGGGGGACACCAGAAATGGGCTTCACACAATGTACCCATGTGGGGAATCGAACCCGGGTCTTCGGCGTGAAGAGCGAACGCTTTAACCACTAGGCTACCCCACCGCCCATAATATTGATAAAAGAGATGTATACCGGGAACAGTTTACATACCGTTATATCTCAAATGAAGGCCCACTAATTTCTCGGAGATAGTTTGAAAGGAAATGTCATAACCAACATGAACATATAAGAAATGCACCCTCTGATATTCCAACACAAAGAAACCTAAAGCATTGTTAATTCAACCCTCTCAGATAGGAATTGAGTCAGTGAGTCGGATTCAATGCTGCTTTGAATAGCATTCCACTTATATCATGGTGTGGGAAGCCCCAACTGACACAGTGAGTGAGTGAGTTTAGTTTTACGCCGCAATCAGCAATATTCCAGCTATATGGCGGCGTCTGTAAATCATCGAGTCTGGACCAGACAATCCAGTGATCAACAGCATGAGCATCGACCTGCGCAATTGGGAACTGATGACATGTGCCAACCAAGCCAGCGAGCCTGACCGCCCGATCCCGTTAGTTGCCTCTTACGACAAGAATGGGTTACTGAAGGTTCATTCTAACCCGGACCTTCACGGGGCCCAACTGACACAGGCCTAAATGCTTATGCACTCGTGCAGTGCTGACAGACCACGAAACATTAACCTGCCACGATAATCTGGATGAATCTGGATACAATTCACATGATCATCGGTTTCTGTGATACCAAGGGAACATAACTCTGTACAGCGAACTTCGACTGGGCAACCAACAACCCAAACAGAGGAAATGAATCCTTTCAGAAAGTGTCTTGAGCACCTGGGTCAAATTTGAAGATGTAGCGTTCCTACCTGAGGAAATGCCATTGTAAATCTGTAAATTTGAAAACACTGCATATCTAAAGAAAACAGTACTTGCTTTCCCAAATAAAGCTTATAGTACTCCTGGTTCAGATTTACAATTTTCAACACTAATGAACTAATATTAGCAGTAACTGCACAGTGCTTTCAAAGATAATACTTTCATTATCATATGAACAACAGTATGTTTCAATAATTGTCATGTTTAATAACTATGGAATACAAAAAAGCATGGTCACTGTAATGTAAAATGTCCACATTCTGATTTGAAATGACATCATGTTTCTTCTTTATATGTTTCAAGCAAAGTTCTTATTTGAGTCACTGGTGCTCATTATCCAAAGAGCCAACATGATTACTGGTATGGTAATGTAAATTCTACTTGTCTGTTTTTTATACCACTATGACACTGTGTAGGAAATATAATATATGTGTTGGTTCTAAATACTGTACCTTTCGAACCAAGCAGAAATGTACTGATGCCATTTCATGAGTCAAAGTTAAAAGTTGTTGAAAATAGGGATGTGTTTGGAAAAGTTGAAATGCATTAATCTGGCATTAATTGTTTCAAGGGACAGAATAATGTTTTGAGTTTGCATGAATGAATGATACAAAAAAACCATAACTAAGTACACATCTCTACAAAGTCCAAATTCAATGGTCAGCAAATCTGTATATAGAACAATATGAATGGAGGCATGGCTCTGTAGCTCACCTATCATGAACTGAATTAGTACAGTGAGACATTCCAAATCTTGCTGACCACATGGACACACCCTGTATCTTAACCATGAAGCCTTTCAGTAAATTCATCCTAAACAACTTCCTGAAACTGGTTACTTTGGCAACCAAAGTATAGAAACTTACTAGTAAGTTGTTACAACTTGGACCATCAGAGTAGTTTCTACTTTATTGATTGACCAAACAATTTTAACTTGGTAAAGAAATTCACAAAGTAAATATACTTCAGACCCTCCATGCCAGCTGACTGCATGCCACATTATCTAAGTGCATGACCTAATGTAATCAGTCTTCACTTTGACAGAATTGGTGGGATCATCGATGCAACTTCTAGATTCAATGCTCTGTAAACACTTTACAGAAGACACAGGACTCAGCAAAACAAAATGTTGTTATCCACCAGACCAGCATAAAGCTGTGGCCTTGTTGTGGTGTAAGGAATCTGTATCTCCCAATGTCAATGATGTATATTTCAGAAGAGCTATAAGAGAAGACTCTACCATTCAGTCTCCAGTAAATCTAATAAATAAATACTCTTTCATTGAGTTAGCTCTGATCACCTGAACAAAGGGCAGCTGCAACAACATTTACATGCTCCATAGCTAGCAAACTGTATGTTCATAAATACTACATTAATATGAAATAATGTATTATATAGCATTATTGTCAATCTATATTTCCTCTGAGAGAACAGTGAAACTCCTCTAAAACTAAAATTCAGTTTGCATATCTGGCAAAGAAGAAAAACTCAAAATGTGTGTCCTCAAAACAGAAAACGTTTTTCAAAGTTCTACCCACTCTTCCTCTTATTACACAGACATCAATCATAATTTACAGTCAGTACACACATCATTGCATTCACTCTGATTTGTTTCAAATGTAGCATACACAAAATACAACGTAACAGGTTTAGCGAACATTCAAAGGGTAGCAACTGCTGTATTTATGACATTCAACTTCAAGCTGACTTTCTATGCATTTCCACACACATTCTGTCCTGTATATAGGAGGGAAAGCAGAGGTCACAATAAACGGAGGTAAGATTTCCTAGAGCTTTTCAACTGCCTGTAACTGAAAATGTTAAAACCTGTTGATAACAAGCCATATCAGTATAATGTTACCATCTGAGTCTGAAATGATGAAACATGAAACCTTGCACATATATCAACTACAGTCCCTTTGGCTTATAAGTGGACCAATGAATTTCAATGTAACTGGAAAACTAATAAACATAAAATACTCAATAAAACGCTGATCATAATCAAAACATTATTAATTCTGTGCGTGTTTTTGCAGAATTTAAGCCCTAAAAATGAAAAAGTTTAACAAACTATCATTAAAATGTTGACACAGTTCACTATTTGTTACGTGGGAGGAGTGCAGAGAAAGGGACAGCCAGGTGTTCGAGAAGCAAGTGCAAAAGTGCCGACAAAGTTATTGATTCATTAACCTGTGCTGTGCCGTCTCCATCCCTTCTCGCACACCTGGCTGTCCTTTTCTTTGCACTCCTCCCTCGTAACAAATAGTGAATTCTCCAAAACCTCACAGAGTTGGTCTGATGTTTTGATTATGATCAGCATTTCATTGAGTATTAAATGTTTATTAGTTTTCGAGTTAGATTGCAATTCATCGGTCCGCTTTTGAGTCAAACTGACTGTAGTTCGTGGTAATAGAAACACTCCAAAACATATTGCTGGGGTCAGACCAACTATTTTTCCTGTTTTTACTCTAAACTTGAGTGAGATGAAAAGCAATCAACATTTGGCAGATGGGAATACAAACAGTCCAAGTGTATTAGTCTCTTGTGTTGGTTTAACAATAACTACTGCCTATCCTTACAGTAAAGTTAAGTGATAATATTTGCCATTATGTTATTGAAACAATGACTTTCATATGGTCGCCATTGTTATCACTGTGTTCAGAGACAGGATGCATGTATCTGTTCTTCCCTTGTATCTACCTGCCTCTTTGCCAGTACAGAATCTAGCCTCTTTGCAAGAATTTCAGTACAAGACAAACCACACTAAAGTGGTATAGTGTCATGTGTAGCATGTGAACCAAGTCATGTTTAGTACTCCAAGGATAACTTGCGTTGGGACAGCCAGCGGTAATGCCAGGTAATGAGGTTTGAGATATTACTCCAGGTTTAGTTTAAGACTAAAATATATACTTCCTCAAAATTGCATACATCCTTGCTTAAGGTAATGACAATTTTGAAACTGCAATTAATTCCTAAATTTACTAAAAATGTTATTTGGATGTTAGATTGGTGGATTTCAAACAAAATCATTCAAACTATCCTTCACCTATTTGATGTCTTGTCTACAGTGTTGTTGAGAAACCCCGCAGAAGCTACCCCTAGAATAATTCCACAGAAAATAATGAATACAATGTAAAAACAAAATGTTACATGATAATTAATACTTTCCAAGCCAGTACTCAGTGCCTCATTAGTGTGAGAAGTTTAAACATGGAGCACTCAGGTTTTGATATTTCAACTGAGTAAACATGAATCTTCCTCTTTGAACGTATTTATTGCCACTATCATGGCTTGATTAAAATCAAATCTTATCAAACAGCATTCAGACATGGAATCTGCAGACACGTTTTCATTCATGGAAGTCCATACTATGAACATTAATGCGGGTGTCACGATTCACACTGATGTATCATCACATCAACACTGATGTTACAATGTGATACACCTCTAAGTGAATTGGCTCAAAGATTCATTCTAAATTAATGACTTTCACAAATCAATATTTACACAATATACACTTGGGCTGTGTTAAGAAATGCCTGTCAAGAAACATAAATGCGGAATCAGACTGAATAAATCAATCAGAACAAACGTGAACAACCAGCCTTCCAAACATAATGTGACTGACAGCGATAACCTCTTGTTGGACAAACCACATGGAACATGGAGAAACTCAGGGAGAAATGGCACAAGTTAAGTGCCGTGACTTATAATGACTCAAGTATCGTCATAGTAATTGACACGTGAGGGCAGTGTATCGTGAAACCCCTACAGAAAAGCACCACTTGATACATGTTTCTCAGTATTTCTCACCACAGTAATAAATACAAACAGTTAAGAATAGCATTAGGATGCAACATATGCCAAATAAAAACAGTTGAACTGACGTACCCATTCTCTGCCTCTCAGTGTTCTACCAGTATCAAGGTATATAGGAGGGAAGGCTTGACTAGAACAGAACTAAATGCACATTTTAACAATCCAAATTAAAATATTGACATTACAGAGAAAAGTCAGCAAAAACTGTACATCTAGCACTCCTTTGTTCATCATCATCATCATCATCATCATCATCATCATCATCATCATCATCATCATCATGTTTTCAGTTCTACACACTCTCTTTTGCAGATTCAGTCTTTCAGTCTCAGTAAGTTCCCTGACGTTGTCTGTGTACACTGAAAACAGAAGCAGCCATGAAAGAACAACTCAATAACCTGGCAAACTGACCAGCTGATTTCAGTATGTAATAATTGCAGCAGCTCTGTCTGTACACTGAAAACAGAAGCAGGCATGAAAGAACAACTCAATAACTTGGCAAACTGACCAGCTGATTTCAGTATGTAATAATTGCAGCAGCTCTGTTATGACACCCAGTGACATCTGTCCCTCAATGATTTCTGTTATGACACCCAACATCTGTCCCTCAATGATATTGATGAGAAGAAGATTTTAAGAAGCAGGTAGCTCACCTTGCCATGACATGGTAGCTATTCATCATTATCTTATCTTACACCTTTTTTTGAAAATACCCTGATCTGTGGATGATTTAGTTTTCGAAAACATTTGATTTTTTACATAGGCCAGAATAATAATTAAAAGAGAAATTTACAATTTGAAGATACAGTGGCAAAATGATACTTAGTTATGACTGACTGACTGATCTCTTACAACTTGTAATGTGGGGAATTCGAACCCGGTCATTTCAAGAAGATTTATTATTATGTCATGGTGAGATGGTGCCATTTTCAATCGATCGATTCACAAAAGTACATTTTATGCCAAAAAATGTAAAAAAGACAAATGTTCAATGAAATCTTGACAATAACTTATGTTATAATGCATTACAAATGTAAGTCCTATAATGACTGGACAACACAACTAACATTCATTTCAAGAAGATTTTATGGTGAGGTGGTGCATAATTCACAAAAAAATAATCCTAATTCTGTTATTGGTAAGTCCATAATAGGACAAATAAAACAATAATAAACTGGCTGTAAAGACACACATGCATCTGCCCCTTAAGCACATACAGCTGAGTAACTGGCTGTTAGGCATGAATATGTTGTTTGTGCTCTTGACAGTATTTACTGAGTTGTGTGATTTACGAAACTGTGTGCAACCTTGGTTGTCATGCGTGAAAAGTTACCATGGCAACCATTACAAACTGCTTGCAATTGGATGAAGGATGAATTTATCAGTATTGTACTTATCAAGGAATAATTTAAATAGGATGGTTTAAAAAATGAAAATTAGAAAACGTTATACGCCAACACCATTTGTTCAAAAGTCATTGCCTGAGAACCAGTTCTTTGTATTTTTAAGCCTTATGTGAGTAAGGGGAGCTAACTCTTGCCGCAAGATTCTCACAATACATCACAAGAAGACCTCTACTTCACCCATGATTCTCAGCTTAAGCCCATTTTGGGAGCTTGATCACTGGTTCAGTGACGTGAACATGATCACCACTGTCTTTATTGTTGTAGTCACTGTGTTTATATTCTACTAAGTACTACTTTGGAATTTGCACTGCCACTGTGATTCATTTGTAGTGATTGCAATTGCTTTCTAAACTAAGTTATTTTAGAATAAAATTGTCAATCATATCACATTTCTTTGTGGTTTACTGGTTTCACACCAAGTTCTTTTATGGACTGATTTTCAGTTTACTTATAGTTTCAACTTGGACATGAAATCGTAACACAATGACAAGCCTCTCCATACCTCTCGACCAGGTCAGCTCCGATGACATCATGTATGTGATACAAGATCCCAAGGCGAGCCAGCTTCGGCCACTTCCTCTGTTCAAGATCCTTCAAATCAAATCAAAATGTAATTTTTTAAGTAAAATTGATATTTTATACTTATCCTGACTCATGATCTTTGCTTATCTCCCTTTCCCTTGCGATTGGTAGTGGAACACTTGAATCCTTTGTAGTTCCCTGAAGCAGACGTAAAAATACACTCACCGACGAGTTACCTGCCTTTTCCCGCGCAAAAACAGTCATGTGACCAGCCTTACTTGTCACTCTTTCCTGATTTTTCTGCCCATGCCCCTGGATCTACTGTGAAATCCGAAGTTTTTCCAGCGGGGAGGTTGGGAGGGCTTCTCCTCATGAGTCAGGATAAGTATAAAATATCAATTTTACTCAAAAAATGACATATTTTTCCTTATCCTGACTCATGATCTTTGCTTATAGTATCCTACGGATTGGTGGTGGGTCAAGCCACTTCCTGGATTCAACAGCTGTCCATAGATACGTCCTGTATCTCCCCCCTCCATGGGAACTGCGTAACGGCATTTCCTAGATCCTATTCTTCCAACTTCCGTTATAACTCGGGGGACCACAATCTTGTCTTACTTCTCTCTCAGACAAGTGAATCTTCTAGATTCATGTGGCTTAAGATATACTAGTATCTTCTTCTTACTAGTTATCTATAACAACCCATAGATTATGATAAGATCTTTATCATAAATGAGTTGCAACCCCTTCACGTACAGGTAAGATCTTTACCCGTACAGAGTCTTAATACAGAGTCTTAATCACTCATGCTATCATGCTAGCCTAGTCTAGACTGTGCTTTGAGGATGGACTGCTACAACAAACCCAGAACTTTTTGGCTATGTCCAAAGTAAAAGTTATCAACAAGTCAACGAGCAATAAAGCCAGGTGAGATTTTCAATTAGGTTCTAATCCTGCCTTTGAGGAACCTCATCCAAAATGAGTTGTTGTGCTACAACAAGAGGCCAAAACTGGTGAATGCCGGAGAGTCGCCTTCGGATGGCTATGTCTCGGTTGAGGTAGTGGTTGGCAAACACCGTGTATCTCAGACATTCGACTTCCAGAAGCAGGCCTCCATAATTGATGATATAGAGCAAGTAATTCTGGTACTTTCGTCAACTTGATGCCTGACTTCATAGTGACGACTGTACTGATGGCTGCCAGATATGTGGATAATGTCGAACCTTCCAGATGTCTTGTATATCCAAGGTGACATAGATATTCCGCCACTTGAGGATGAGAAGCTTTCATAGCTGTGAAGCCTTTCCTCCTTGCATATTGTTCAAATTTCTGCCATTTGTCGTCATACAAATTGCAAGTAGATCTGCGTAACGCTAAGGTTACTGCTTTCGCTGCTCTGGCGGAGTATCCTCTTTTCTTCAGACAGGTTTTGATACGGTCCACACGTGTAGCTGGAACAGTGTTGGGTTCCTGTGGACTTGCTTGGTGTGTGGATGTCTGAGTAGGTTCGACCATTCTGGTAGTTTGAGGGTTGGACTTCCGAGATCTTCTATTAGGTCTAGGAACCAGAATCTCGCTGGCCAATAGCGCGCGACTAAAGTCAGTTGTAGCGCCTGTGTCTGTTTGATCTTCAACAGTACTTTCGGTAGTAAGATCGGAGGTGGAAACGCATATGCGTTTAGTCCTTCCCATGATATGCTCAGTGCATCTGTTGCCCAGGCTTGAGGATCTGGTACTGGTGAGACAAACGTCTGTAGTTGTTTGTTGAACCTCGTGGCGAACAGGTCTGTGCATGGGGATCCTATTTCCCTTATGATGAGCCGGAATGCTTCTGGATGGAGCATCCATTCCGTGGGTGACGGACGAAGTGGTCGGGAAAGAGCGTCTGTTAGTACGTTCTTGGCTCCCGGTATGTGACACGCCTTTATCCAGATGTTTGCATCCTTCGTGATGTTGAACAACTGGAATGTGAGCTGAAGTAGGCTTGGCGATTTTGTTGATCCTTGCCGATTTATGGATAATGCCACTGTAGAGTTGTCTGTGTGGACCATCAGCATTCTGTTGATCAGCGAGCTCGACCATAGTTGTACGGCATTGATCACAGCTTTCATTTCCAGCAGATTGATGTGAAGATGTTTTCGGCCACTTCCCTGATGCAACTTGGTTGTTGAGATGTGCACCCCATCCCTGTAACGATGCATCTGCGTAAAGATGTGTGTCGAAGGCCGGCTCTTGTAAATAGGTCCCTCCGCAGACATTCGACCTGTGAGTCCATCATAGCAGGTATGTCTTGAGATTGTCTGGTAGCGAGATCAGATCAACGCTGTCCAGATGTTTTGCGAGGAAACGAGAGAGATGACTGCTTCTGGAATCATGGCTTGTATCTTGACCCAATGATCTTCTGGGACCACAATTTGATTCTGTGTTGTGATAAATCTTATTCCCAGAAATTGAAGATCTTGTTTTGGTTCCAACTCTGACTTCATCAGGTTCACCCCAGTTGTGTGAGCAATTTGATTGTGTATTGCCACGCTCTTTTGTCTAGTAGAGTGTTGATGGTGTCTGGTGGACACGCCTGGATGTTCAACCATCGTCATAACTGCGTCAGTAGTTCAAACATAAACTGCAGCTGTCGTCTGAGTTGATCTGCTTGTTGATGCGTCTAGATTGCATTGTCGAGGCAGAATGCACTGCAAAGTCTCTGCTGATGCAACAATGGGCTAGGTTACACATGTAAATAGTCCCAGGGCCGAGGAAATTCCAATTGGAAAATACCTTTCATTTCTGCAACAGGCAAGCAAGGGATGTAACTCTATCTTGACTTGGCCGTGACTCACTGAGACGACCGCCAAATGGGTATCACCGCCATTTCTTTCTTCTTGTGCGCTTCTCATCCTCGGAGATAGGCATCAGCGATGACAACAACCTTGTCCAGCATGGCAATTTGCAGTGATGATACATCATTCTTCCCCTTATATACGCAGACGATCTGTGTTGATCAGCATACATCGAAGCGTTGCCTATTTATAGCAAGACTGGTTCCAGTGTAGTATCGAAGGGGACAGGTACTCATACAGGCTTTTATCAGCGAAAAATTCCAAGATAAATATTGTTTATCGTTTATCCTGCTGTCAAGGCTAGACATCTATTAGATTCCCATGATGATAACGAGCCGTAGTTGTATGCTGTTTTCAAGGCTGCAGATGAAGTATTCCCCCGTACAACGGGTTTGTTTACAAGTCAGTAAACTTGCTGGCGCCTGTTCTGAGAGTAAGGGGCGTTGTCTTTCCTGGACCAATCAGCTTCAAGCATGACATCACCGGTGTTGTAGCAAGTTGGCCTCCATAAAATCTGGTGCAATAGTTGATAGAGTAAAAGCGAGCGTAATTCTACGCCGCTCATATAAACCTCTTGAATAAGGGTTGCTCCAAATGTAAAATATTGTTCAGTGATATTAATCACGTATTTCCCATTGTGGATAATATAAGCCAGCATGACGAAGGAGGCTGTCGAGACGTATGTCTGTATTGTTCTTGAAGAATACTGATGTTGAATCTAGTTGATAGGATATAGATTCCTAATCCCCACGCTGAATGACGAGCGTTAATAATATCATCTGTACGTCCGTCCTAAGATTCTTGAAGGCGTTGTTAACCTTAAGCCACCTTTACGAAGGTCGCCTTGAGGTTCTCCAGCACTTGAGATATCGGCTTCATAGGTGATATCATATTGGAGTTGAAGTCATCAGCATATATGCAGTACGTCTCTGTTGGGTTGGAGTGAGTGAGTGAACGACAATATCAGCAGGCCATCTGCTACCCAGGATAAGACCTCCGCATCTGTGTAGATTAAGTAGGTTGTCGTCTGAAACTGAACCTACTACAGGTGTAAGGTTCGTGCAGGTTGTAGAGTTGTGCAGGCTGTAAGCTGTAGAGATCGCACATGTTGTTGATCTTTTTTTTGTTGAGTTATATCTAAGAGTTCGCGAACCCTGTAGACGTCTGCGTTGCTGATATCTGCCTGTTGATCTGAGAGTTCACGAACCTTGTAGATGTTTGCGTTGCTGATATCTGCTTGTTGATCTGAGGGTTCGCGAACCTTGTAGATGTCTGCGTTGCTTATATCTGCTTGTTGATCTGAGGGTTCGCAAACCTTGTGCCTATGTTGCTAATATCGTCTCTTGATCTGAGGGTTCGCGAACCCTGTAGATGTCTGAGGTTGGTGATATCGTCTGTTGATCTGAGGTTCGTGCCTCTTCTCAAAACTTCCTTTCGCGAACCTTCCTCCGCTAACCTTTCCTCCGGAACTCTGCGTGGGCTGCGGGATCTAGATGAGGATTGACTGGATCTTGGAGAGGACCACATTGACGTTCTTGAACGTTGAGGGTTCGCAGACGTATCTAGGAGGTTCGTGGAACCTTCATCTTCCATGATGATAGAGTCTTCTGAGTGTGAAGATCTTCGCGAACCTCATCTGCAGTTGTAACCTCTGGGTTGAAGCTGCTTCAGGTTCGTGCAGGTCGGAGGGTTTGCGAACGCTGACTGCCATCGTAGGGTTCTACCCAACTGCTGCTTCTTCGGCGAACCAACGTTCCATCATGGCCATCATCTGCGTTGTAAACTGCCTCATAAAATCGCCCGGGTCGAAGTTCTGTGTTGTAGACTGGAACTGCTGCGGCGTGGACGAAGCGTTGGCGAACGCTGAGGTGTTGTGTACGTCTACTTCGCTGATGACTGATGTCTGCGTTGTTGGAGGCTGGTCATCAGGGAGCTGAGCAGCTGCTGTAGTTGCAGGAGACGATACAGTCGTCGTGGAGGTCGACTGCGTCGCTCTTCTAGCCGATCTGAGAGGTACTTTAGGTAGAAGTATCGGCGAGTCAGCAAAAAATGTCTGCTTCGGCAGGCGGCACAATGTCTTCATTAAACGCTCTCTGATGAGATATTTTACCAGAACGAGACGACTTCTCGGACGAGTTAGACCTCTTCTTAGCAGCAGTTAAATCACGAACAGCAGCAGACGACTGCCCCTGCAATGTACTCGGCAAATCACTAGTATTATGTATTTCTGCAGTAGAAGACAACACACGGTTACCGGCATTATCTCCGGTTTATCAACAGTGATTGAGATGACTTCCTCACCTGATCCATGGTACGTCTATAGATGTACGATAAATATTGATTAAATTGCAAATCTGATAAATTAATACAGCATCTGTAACACAAGCTGGAAGAACATGGATTAATGCATGACGGGCATTGGAGGTGAGGATCGGTCACTGATAGCCGGTACCTGTAACACTGCAAGATTCATCAAATGTAAACAAACTACATTATGATGAATAAATGTCACAAAATATGAATAATTTTATGAAAAGTTTGACACACGATGAAAACTAAATATAACCAAAAAACTATACACAGTTTAAATTGGATAAAGGATGTAAATATTAAAGGATATGGTGGCATATATGGGACTCCAGTGCTCGCCCAACCATCCGCCAAAAGGGAGAGAGTGACAAGTAAGGCTGGTCACATGACTGTTTGCGCGGGAAAAGGGAGGAGGTAACTCGTGGGTGAGTGTATTTTTACGTCCGCTTCAGGGAACTACAAAGGATTCAAGTGTTCCACTACCATTCGCAAGGGAAAGGGAGATAAGCAAAGATCATGAGTCAGGATAAGGAAAATACAAAACACTATTCCTTTGTCAGTACGAACACACTCAAAATACACTGGTATCATTTCCTGGGTTAAAAAAACCAAAGCAATAGAAAAGTTCCATAATATTTACTTTTTTTATGGCCACCATAACTATGATAAGCATATCTACCCTGGATTAATTAACCTTCAACCAGGGTTATTCAGTCCTTTAGCATCTCTTTGGTGGATGTAATGTTCCATGGGATAATTCATGAAGACTCAAGTGTGTAAATAAACTCAGATAAGAAACAATTTAGCATAAACTTTAAACATATGGTTTGGATTTTTCTGTACAATAACTATACAAACAACACCTTTTATCAAATCATTATGATTTTCTCATCATAACACAGGTACATTATCGTCTTCATGCACTCTTTATATTATAATAATGGTGGAATCATCAAGGTTAATGCTTCTCATTTTGGTTCTTTTGACCTTTGGCAACGTCTACAGAATCTTCAGAATTTTGGAATGACTGACATTTTCATGGGAAAGAACAAATAACAGTTAAAAACATAATAAAGGTGAATGAAAAAGCAATGTTCATACCTGTTGGAGTATTTCTCTGTATTTGCATTTGCGTATCATTGTCAACAGAGCCTTCCTTCCCCTCATGAAGTTCTTCATGAACACACCAGCGTTAGGGATGGACAACCACCAGCTGCCAACATCTCGAACTGTCAACACTGATGACTTGACAAGCTGCCTGGTGGAAGTTAGTACATACCAACAGTTAACATCATTTTCATACAACACACAACTGCAGTAACACAAACGTTACAATATGCATTAAGGATATAAAACAATCTAACACTAATGTCTAAAACAAATAGTAATGTGTTCCAGGATAAAAGACCAATACGAGACTGTGGGCACACTTGCTATGAAAATGGATGTGTCAAGCAATAGTTTGGTGTGTAGCTCAATGTCTCAGTGTAACTCATTGTGTCAGTTTGTCAGTGAATAAGTCAGTTTGTCTGGGAATATGTCAGTTTGTCTGGGAATATGTCAGTCTGTCAAGGAATATGTCAGTTTGTCAATGTCAAGGAATATGTCAGTTTGCCTGGGAATATGTCAGTCTGTCAATGCCAAGGAATATGTCAGTTTGTCAAGGAATGTCAGTTTGTCAATGTCAACTAACATGTCAGTTTGTCAGTGAATGAGTCAGTTTGCCATTGAATGAGTCAGTTTGTCAGTGAATATTTCAGTTTGTCAGTGAATGTTTCAGTTTGTCAGTGAATGAGACAGTTTGTCAGGGAATGTTTCAGTTTGTCAGTGAATGAGTCAGTTTGTCAGGGAATGTCTTTCAATTTCAATGAAAAGGATATGTCACTGTATGTGTCAGTTTGTCAAGGAATGTGTCAGCTCAACTTTGTCAATGTCAACTAAATGTCAGCTTGTCAATCATATGTCAGTTTGTCAAGGAATATGTCAGTTTGTCAAGGAAATGTGTTTGTCAATGTCAAGGAATCTGTCAGTTTGTCATGGAATGTGTCCATTTGTCTGGGAATATGTCCATTTCTCTGTGTGTCAGTTTGTCATGAAAAGGATGTTCAGTTTGTCAGTGAATATGTCAGCATGTCAAGGAATCAGTTTGTCAGTGAATGTCTGTGAATGTCAACTAACATGTCACTTGTCAATCAATGTGTCAGTTAAAGTGTTGTCAGTTTGTCAGTGAATGTCAGTTGTCAGTCAATGAATTCCATTTGTTAATCAATGTCAATGTGTCAGCTTGTCAGTGAATGTGTCTGTGAATGCTTCTATTTGTTAATCAATGTGTCAGTTAAAGTGTTGGTTTGTCAGTGAATGTGTCTGTGAATGCTTGTATTTGTTAATCAATGTGTCAGTTAAAGTGTCAGCTTGTCAGTGAATGTGTCTGTGAATGCTTCTACTTTGTTAATCAATGTGTCAGTTAAAGTGTCTCTTCAGCAAATGTGTCTGTGAATGCTTGTATTTGTTAATCAATGTGCCAGTGAAAGAGTCAGTTTGCCAGTGAATGAGTCAGTTTGTCAGTGAATATTTCAGTTTGTCAGTGAATGTTTCAGTTTGTCAGTGAATGAGTCAGTTTGTCAGGGAATGTTTCAGTTTGTCAGTGAATGAGTCAGTTTGTCAGGGAATGTCTTTCAATTGCAAGGGAATATGTATTGAATAGGTATGTCACTGTATGTGTGTCAGTTAACTTCAGCTTGTCAATCAATGTGTCATTTCGTCAAGGAAGTTGACAGTGTGTTGGTAAATGTGTTTTTCTGTCAGTCCATCTGTCAGTTCGTCATGAAATGTGTCCATATGGCAGTGAATCTCTCCATTTCTCTGTGAATCTCTCAGTTTAAGGATGTTGCCGTGTCAGTGAATATGTTAGCATGTAAGTCAGTTTGTCAGCGAATGTGTCTGTGAATGCTTCTACTTGTTAATCAATGTGTCAGTTAAAGTGTCGGTTTGTCAGTGAATGTGTCTGTGAATGCTTCTATTTGTTAATCAATGTGTCAGTTAAAGTGTCAGTTTGTCAGTGAATGTGTCTGTGAATGCTTCTATTTGTTAATCAATGTGTCAGTTAAAGTGTCGGTTTGTCAGTGAATGTGTCTGTGAATGCTTCTATTTGTTAATCAATGTGTCAGTGTTATAGTGTCGGTTTGTCAGTGAATGTGTCTGTGAATGCTTCTATTCGTTAATCAATGTGTCAGTTAAAGTGTCTGTCAGCAAATGTGTCTGTGAATGCTTGTATTTGTTAATCAATGTGTCAGTTAAAGTGTCAGCTTGTCAGTTAATGTGTCTGTGAATGCTTCTATTTGTTAATCAATGTGTCAGTTAAAGTGTCAGCTTCTCAATGAATGTGTCTGTGAATGCTTCTATTTGTTAATCAATGTGTCAGTTAAAGTGTCGGTTTGTCAGTGAATGTGTCTGTGAATTCTTCTATTTGTTAATCAATGTGTCAGTTAAAGTGTCAGTTTGTCAGTGAATGTGTCTGTGAATGCTTCTATTTGTTAATCAATGTGTCAGTGTTATAGTGTCGGTTTGTCAGTGAATGTGTCTGTGAATGCTTCTATTTGTTAATCAATGTGTCAGTTAAAGTGTCGGCTTGCCAGTGAATGTGTCTGTGAATTCTTCTATTTGTTAATCAATGTGTCAGTTAAAGTGTCAGCTTGTCAGTGAATGTCTTGGTGTGTCAGTCAATGTGTCAGGGTTTAGTTAATATGGCAGATATAGTATAACTTTTTCAGTTGATGTGTTGGTGTGTAAATGTCTTGGTGAATGTGTCTTTATATTTGGAAAAGTGTCCTTGAATATGCAAATGTGTAGGCCTATATGTCGATTTGTGGCACCAAGCTTGCCAGTAAACACATCAGTGAATATGTCAGTTTGTCAATGTGCCTGTGAATGCATGCCACAACAACTTACGTGATTTCTTCATCTTTAAAGCGGAAATCCTTCATCAAAGTATCTTTGTCAAGACTCACATCATTGCAGTTTTTCACAACCCGTAAGAATTTTTCTGAAAACAAATTTTCCCATGTTCATGCTTGCCTTCCTTTTGCCTTGTCAAGAAAGACAACAGGATGCAGGTTCGGTGAATCAATGCCTGTGTCTTCCCACTTCAGCCTATTCAACATACATACGAATCTATCCAAGACAGATAAATGCTAAGACCACAGCCTTGTCAAGCCGAAGATAACCTGTCTCTACCCACTTCAGCATATTCAACTCGTCACGCCGAAGACCCGGTCAAGATTCCCCACATGGGCAAATGTGTTAACCTGGTGTTCCCCGCCTTGATATTGCTGGAATATTGCTAAAAGCGGCGTAAAACCAAACTCAGTCAGTCAGTCAGTCAGCATATTCAACATACACACAGATCTATCTAGGATTCTAAACTAAGAGCACTTGGCATGCAAATGTTTTTGTCATGTTGTTCAAAACTGGGATTCATTTAAAGTTCCTACTCACACTAACTTTGTCCATTAACATTCCATTCCATAATGCAAAACAAATCATTAAAACCACTTCCCTTGTATTGGTCCTGCTATTGGTGAAACACAAGTTGACGTGACTTGGCCATCAAGCTACAGCTATATCACCATGAATTAAGAATGAATATGGAATATGGAATATGGAATACAGACTAAAGGTCAAATATTGGCTCTGTGTTGATATCGACAAATCCCATATACATCAGTAAATGCATCATGAAAGTTGTATGCATCCAAACTAACTGACAATGTTGTTTTGGGTTTGGTTTTTATTGATTAACACTACACTCAGCAATATTCCAGCTATATGGTGGCAGTCAGAAAGTTATCAAGTCTGGACCAGACAATCCAGGTACTGACGCAGTAGGGATACCATGACGTGCATCAACGAAGTCAGCAAGCCTGACCATCATCCCTAGTCACTTCTTACCACAAGCATAAGTTGCTGAAGACCAGTTCTAACCCGGATCTTCATGGGTCAGCTGGGGCTGTACCCAACATCTTGGCCTTACATTCTTACCTATTATATGATTATGTACATGCAGATCTTTCATGACGTGGAGAATGTGTGTTTCATAGTCATGAGCAAACACAACACACAGGTCGTTGGCATCAGCACCCAGTTTAAACACCTTGATTTCCCCACTGCTACGGAGGTCACCCTGAAGACAGACACATTACCTATTACCAGTGTATGAAATAGGCCAAAACACCCACCCAGACATCAGGGCGGGTAACTTCAAAATGTTACCAGCCCAAAATGGATTTAACCAGACCAGACAATCCAAAGAAAATAACTCAAGTTGTAGTTACAATTAATAATGTAATAAGCCTGAGACATGTATTTCCTGTCTAACGGTCTATTCACAACAGTCATTTTCAGAGAAATCTAACTCTGAGTTGTAGTCAGAGTAACGCTCATTTTAAATAATACATTTTAAGATATGGTGAATTTACTCAAGTGTATGGAACATGTTATCTAAAAGATTTTAAAAGACCATCGGGCTGGCTAGCTGTAAATTTAGACCGTCTGTCAGAAATCTAGCCCGTCTCAGGCGGTCAGGCGGTCCTATGGACGTTAGAAATTCACATGGAAAAAATGCATAATTCTACCAAAAACTGTTATAGTAGATGTACAGTAACTTACAATAACTAAATGTGCCACATGTTCAAATTAATAGCAATATGCTGGACATACACACAGGTTACTTGTTTGAGTGGCATTTTAGAAGTTGAGACGTACAATATAGGATAAGTTTTTTTATGGATAACAACTTCTTTATTTCGTGAATGCGACGTTTCGCACCAATTATGGTAATTGTTTTCTTTGTCAATTATGTGGTCTCATTGTTATATTCAGTATATATATACATCTCCTCCACTTCATGTATCACTCCTGCTTGACAAGGGTACAAGAATCTGTATCGAAACGTCGCAATCACGAAATAAAGAAGTTGTTATCCATAAAATACTTGTCCTATATTATACACACAGGCGTTGTACAAAGTCTTCTATCTGTTAATAGCTGTGATAGGACTCTTAAAAACCCCCACTATTTTTGTTTGGTACCAGCATAAATGAACAGCAGAAAATGTTCCACTGGAAACACTGAAATGCATCATAACCTAAATAAGACAGACCAGTTGTATGTCATGAACAATGCACATACCCAAGTTATGTAACCCATGATACTGCAGTGTATACATGATAAATGTTTAGACACCACCAAATTAAGTACGGATATGTATAAATCGCCATGTAAATTCCATCTGAATGTGATCAGGGCATGATCTGTACTAGGGGAGCCTAGTGTCCCTGAGTGGTATTGCTAGAAATAATGCTGAAAGCGGCATAAAACCATACTCACTCACTCACTGCAAAAAGGCATTTGGCTCCATTCAAACAAGTGGGTTTGGTTCAATACAACAATATTTCACTCATATCAATTATTCATTATTATAGGATATTTATATAGCGCACATATCCATGCTAGTACATGCTCAAGGAGCTATCAGCTTAATGATATATAATAGCTCACTCTTTGTAGTGAACTGTTGGTCCCTCATGATTGAGCAATAACTCTTGAATATCTTCTGGTACGTAATTTATGTCCGTAACCACCATATTGAAACTGCTGTTATCAGTAGTGATACTCACCACATGCTTGTCTACTGTCGTCCTGTTTTTCACAATACTGTACAACTGGTGTTTGAAAATTATTGGTGGAAGACGGTCATCAAACTTGTCCCCAGGAAACAAATTCTTCAGATAAAGTAGTGATGCTTCGGTGTCCGTTGGCAACCCATTCACTGAAATCAAGAGTGTCACAAACACCATGTTAATCTAAACTTCCTGAAGATCAACAGTTCAGCAAAAGTTTCAAACAAGATTATATGATGAACTGTATTACTAGTCTATAAAAACATACATTTGAAATTTTACAGTTCAAGCTCAAATTCATCAATATTGTACACACATCAGACAAAGACAATCTACTAAGAAAAACTAATACCTATGACACAATGTCGGCATTCTCTTACAGCCATAACAAGATATCTGCTTGACACAAAAGTGAATGGCAAAGATCCGATTAATGTACTCCACACTATGTACAGATGAAACATAAAAACACTTACTGAGGGCATTATCATTGAAATCTCCATTTTCTTCAGGCTGAGCTGGTCGAACACATTTTTTCTTGTGTTTGTATATATCTGGCAGAAGTGTTCTTTTGCGACTCATTTCTAAAAAACACCCAGTAAACATAATTACATGTATATGTTATCAACATCAAAGTATTAAAAAACTTTCAAGGTTAATTATTTCGTGGGAAAAACATTTCTCTCTGCAAAAGTATCTATAGTCTGTTTGCAGTGAAAACGTACCGATGAATTTCACTTTAAACAAAAAAGTAAATCAAATTAAGTGAAATTAACATTGCGAATCCTCATAATTTTACCTTGCCAATTAAACATTTAAATCTCAGAATTTTATTCAACTTAGGATGAAAGTTGTTTAAAAAACGATCATAGTTTCAAATCGCTATTATTGGTTTGTATTACAAGGGGGTACATGCAGTAGTTGGAACAGTGAAATAAATGCACGTGCGGTGAGTGATGAGCGTTAACTTAGACTACCGTAGAAACCAATGCTACTTGTTCTCGGGGTTTCATTTATTGTGCATACCCCTTTGTAATACAAACCAATTATAGCAATTTGAAACTATGATCGTTTTTAATGTTCAATTGGCAAGGTAAAGTTATGAGGATTCTCAATCTTAATTTCACTTTATTTGATTTACTTTTTTGTTTAAAGTGCAATTCATCGGTGATGAATTACAAGCATCTTGGGTCTGCAGAAATAAAAATACACTGGTCCCATACTTGGTTGCAGATTTGCAAACCAAGTTTTCAAGATTTCAAGTGTAGCATTAGAAATACTAATTTCATTGTTAAAAATTGCTCAGCTTGAAAACTGAAATGTTTTAATACATGTCGGTGGAAACATAGAAAAATATGTTGATTGTGATAAGCAGTCTCTGTCACAGACAAAACTCAATGTCTGTTTTATTAACACCTATGTGTCTGCCTGCCTGTCTGCTAATGACAATATGCAGTACACAACTTCAATCATTGACCACATGCAAACAGACTATAGCTAAATGGAAGGGTTCCCTACGATGATACACAATGTTCCTCAAACATGATGTATACTTAGTTGATAAACACAGGCGTGAGGTATGATGGAGGAATGTGGTGGACACTAGATGGTGAAGCACTGACAATGTGTGGTATGACAGAGGAATGTGGTGGACACTAGATGGTGAAGCACTGACAATGTGTGGTATGACAGAGGAATGTGGTGGAGACTAGATGGTGAAGCACTGACAATGTGTGGTATGATGGAGGAATGTGGTGGAGACTAGATGGTGAAGCACTGACAATGTGTGGTATGATGGAGGAATGTGGTGGAGACTAGATGGTGAAGCACTGACAATGTGTGGTATGACAGAGGAATGTGGTGGAGACTAGATGGTGAAGCACTGACAATGTGTGGTATGATGGAGGAATGTGGTGGAGACTAGATGGTAAAGCACTGACAATGTGTGGTATGACAAAGGAATGTGGTGGAGACTAGATGGTGAAGCACACTGACAATGTGTGGTATGATGGAGGAATGTGGTGGAGACTAGATGGTGAAGCACTGACAATGTGTGGTATGATGGAGGAATGTGGTGGAGACTAGATGGTAAAGCACTGACAATGTGTGGTATGATGGAGGAATGTGGTGGAGACTAGATGGTGAAGCACTGACAATGTGTGGTATGACGGAGGAATGTGGTGGAGACTAGATGGTGAAGCACTGACAATGTGTGGTATGTATGATGGAGGAATGTGGTGGAGACTAGATGGTGAAGCACTGACAATGTGTGGTATGACGGAGGAATGTGGTGGAGACTAGATGGTGAAGCACTGACAATGTGTGGTATGATGGAGGAATGTGGTGGAGACTAGATGGTGAAGCACTGACAATGTGTGGTATGACGGAGGAATGTGGTGGAGACTAGATGGTGAAGCACTGACAATGTGTGGTATGATGGAGGAATGTGGTGGAGACTAGATGGTGAAGCACTGACAATGTGTGGTATGATGGAGGAATGTGGTGGAGACTAGATGGTGAAGCACTGACAATGTGTGGTATGATGGAGGAATGTGGTGGAGACTAGATGGTGAAGCACTGACAATGTGTGGTATGATGGAGGAATGTGGTGGAGACTAGATGGTGAAGCACTGACAATGTGTGGTATGATGGAGGAATGTGGTGGAGACTAGATGGTGAAGCACTTACAATGTGTGGTATGACGGAGGAATGTGGTGGAGACTAGATGGTGAAGCACTGACAATGTGTGGTATGATGGAGGAATGTGATGGAGACTAGATGGTGAAGCACTGACAATGTGTGGTATGACGGAGGAATGTGGTGGAGACTAGATGGTAAAGTACTGACAATGTGTGGTATGACGGAGGAATGTGGTGGAGACTAGATGGTAAAGTACTGACAATAGGAGGTATGATAAGTGAGGTGAAATGGGGTTTAGTGTCGTACTTAAGAATATTTCGCTCATATGATGACGTGCATGCATGTGCATGTGTACTAGCCGAGACTGAAGCTGGTTTTATAGTGCTAGCTCACTGGGATACTATGTCACAGTTAAGCATGAATACCCCACTCAGAAACATTATACTGACTACGAGCTAACTAGTCTTTGTTTTACCCATTAATTTACCAGAGAGCGCCAGACAGGGACCAACAATTACCATATTTTAACGTCTTTTGGTATGACGTGGACGGTCATCGAACTAGTGACCTGCTCTCTGAGCGGATGCTCTAACCACTACACCACGGAGGCGGTCAGGAGGTATGATAAAGGAATGTGGTGATGACATTACCAAGTATACGTTTTCTAAATAATTAGGCCAAATGTTTCTTCTCTTTTACATGGTATTGTTTATTTATCTATTTATGTATTTGTTGATATTTAACTCTTATACATGTGAGCTCTGTGAGGATGTACAACGTATTCCTGTGATGGGTAATAAACTTTTTTCTCTTGTCTTGTCTTGAAGCACTGATGATGGCAAGCATGATGGGGGAATGTGGTGAACAGAAGATCATGTAGTACTGATGATACAAGGAGTGCCTCGGTAGTGCATAAAAGTCTTTGGAGCACTGACAATGCAAGGGATGATGGCAAAATAAAGTGTAATTAAGACTCTGAAACACTGAGAATGATAGAAGTCTTGGATAAATGTAGCATAGAAAAGCAGTGAAGCACTGTCAGTGTGATGGATGATGGGGGATTTACTGCATACAAGACCATGTGGCACAGAGGATGTTTTGTAGCTTCATATCATGAGACACTCTGAATCAACATAATCAGTATATTAATATTTATATTTTGTATAGACAGACCATGTGGATGACATTCTGGAAATATCATAACTGATTTACTGCCATTGTGTTGTTAATGACACAGATAACTGTTTAAGCTTCACTACCATGTACATGATGGATGCTTTCTACTGGTTACGTGAACATGGGTGATATGGACCTTATCAACCAATAACCTACAATTATTTTTGTTTCAGTTTCAAGCCAGATGAGATAAAGCTGTGAATTTCTTTTGTCACAATCTATGTCATCATTCTGAAGATCTTCAAAGGAACAGATACTGGTCATAAAAAAACAGAATTGGTTCAGTATTTAGCCAACACCAGTGACATTTAAAATGTTCATATACAACAAAGCAAAAGAATCATTATAAACAAACAAACCAGGTATTCATTGATTGATGTTCAGAAAAAAGGTAGGTGTGAAGCTGTAAAGTTTCACATTTATTTTCTTAGAATTTATACACAAGATTTGTATTCAAATAATATATATCATACACATCCACAACCCCCTGAGATTTGTTTACCATTTTACAATTTATTTCCTTAATGAAAGATTAAAAATAATACAGCAACCTGACTGAACAATTTGTTTAAAGGTCACATGCAACACAACACACAACTTTGCAGATTCTGATACCTTTCGGTATGGACTTACTGTAACAAATTATCAAAAATGCAAACTCAACTTATAAAGTTGAAAAATAACGCGATGAAAACCCCCACGCGAAATCGGAGTTCAAACGATTCACTAACGCTGGGGTGAAAAGTGGTTTCAACAGCTGTGCTGAGCTGTGCCCATAGCGCATGCGCAGTGATTAGGTTTGCGCGGCTTGAACCGGGAAGGCAATTCGTAAAAACACAGCAAGTGATACATGTAAGGATTATCGCTGTGGTCGAAGTTGGAGAACAAAAGATGTTTCTTGTGATTACAAGCATCAGTAATAAAAATACACTGGTCCCATACTTGGTTACAGATTTGCAAACCAAGTTTTCAAGATTTCAAGTGTAGCATTAGAAATACTAATTTCATTGTTAAAAATTGCTCAGCTTGAAAACTGAAATGTTTTAATACACGTCTATGGAAACATAGAAAAATATGTTGATTGTGATAAGCAGTCTGTCACAGACAAAACTCAATGTCTGTTTTATTGACACCTATGTGTCTGCCTGCCTGTCATTTTTCTCGGATGACTGGATCAGACGGAAACCGGTGCAAACGACAGATTCCAGCCACACAGTAGTTCACCATCTCAGTATTTGTTGATTGGATCGAACGCAAATGCAGAGAGCACGTATTTACAAAACCCACCATCTCTATATACATTCTTTATGGATAACAACTTCTTTTATTGTATATGATGCAACATTTCGGTATGGATTCTTATACCAGTGTCACGCTTACTTGACAACGGTATAAGAATCCATACCGAAACGTCGCATCATATATACAATAAAAGAAGTTGTTATCTTACTTTCTTATTACTCACCATACTTCTAAAATGCCAATCAAACAGATCATCTCTATATACACACACACAATGAGCCCTCAGCGTATCGGCAAATGAACCAGCCAATGAAAAGACTTTGTTACACTTAAGTGCACACCCACCCTCTCTGACTGGGTTCTGTCTCCAAGATGCTTCGTTTTGAGGGAAGTAAACCCAAGTACAAAATATTGCACTTTTGATTCGCTATTGTACGGCTTATAATTTTGTTTATTTGATTTGTCACAATCAGCAATGTATATTATATGTCATGAATAAGTGATAATTGTGTTTTAATTATGTTTGTTTTTTTGGTTGCATGTGACCTTTAATTTGTTAAATGTGTTAACTAAATGATTCTGTAAAAACGGTAACCTACATACTCAAGATACATGAAACAACATCTCAGGACCCAGGCCTAGTGACTGTAAAGACTATAATTTGTAAAACTCAGAGAACAAAATCTGTGTCCCTTCTTCTGTCTTCAGAACATGTTTAGCTGTGTACACAATGTACAAATTCATTTATTTCTAATGGCAGGTATTTATTGTGTAGTATCTGTAACATACATGCACTTGATTGTCAATATCATCTATGATATCGTGGTGATTATATTCAAACATACAATGATGATGTGAAACACATAAGCTCCAATCTCAGTTGTAATCTCAAGTGAATAATGGTGCTGTGTTGGCAAAAGGCCATTTCAGTCAGCACCCACAACAACAAAGAACAAAGTTCTAGATTATTTTATTTAGAATATATTCATTGAACTGTGCAACATGATATCTTATTATCAAATTTCTGTTGTAAATATATCAGTCTGAGTTTACTAACTATTGCTGAAATCATCGACTTGTTACTGCCTCTGCCTACATCGCGACTTTCAATTAACGTTGATTTTTGCGACGTAACTGTAAAAGTGACATGATAAGACGTAACAGTCAACCACTCAGCTAAACTACATTTTGAACAAAGCGACTGTCAAATAATAAAGAGCTGACCAAAATCACTCTTGTCCGTCTGATGCCCTCGACACAGAACTGTGCTAGGTCATTCTGTCACTGAGCGTGCGCAGACAGACGAAGGAAATATGTTGTTTACTAAGTTTCCAAGTATGACTGTTGATTCATCTTAGAGATATAAACAAAATAACTAGAGCCACAGAAATGTGTTCTTTGGTACATACTTCAATTACAGAGAAGCAGTTACGTAGTTCTGGGCATTCTGTTTCAATAAACTTGGTTACCGGTAAACAACCACTTGCTCAATTCAACGGCAACAGGAGGCTGACATCTTGGTAATAACTGCGTACAGATGATTGGTTAAGATATGACCTTAACCTTGTTCGCTAACATTTCCGGTTGACGATATACTACTCCAAAATGCAAATGTTGATTACAGTTTCAAAAGAACAACTGTAGGATTAGTTACAATGTAAACTCCTTGTTCAAAATACCATAAACATATATCTTCATAAAAGTACTCTACATAAAATGATAATGTACGATACTTAAATTATAGAAAATATCAATTCGCAATTATGAGACAGTATACAATTAGTTGTGACAGATGCAGTTTCATTCTGAAGTAAAACTTCCGACTTCGTCAAATGGCGGGTCCACACATGTACAAATTTCGGACATATCCGGGGAACCAGTTCAATAAGGCTTTTCCATTCTTTAGAATCCCGGAAGAATATGGTTACTTCTCCCAAGATTGTGACAGACAGTTCCGTTCCGACAAAAGTCAATTACGTTTTTATGTTCCACCAGCAAATATGAATCGGGTTAAGTACGATCTTACACATGGATATTCTAATCTGATACGGAAGGACGAAAATAAGAAAGAATATCTTGATGACTTACTCAAGTGGGTCGTTGAAAACAAGATGAAATTCCAAATAGTTCCAAGACAAACTCAGGATTCTAATGAAGACATTCACCCACAAATCACAAGGCAAGGTCCTACACTACTTATCGCACGTTTTACGACTTTTATGCACCACTACAACATGTACAACCATTCAACCAAAACAGTCAATAACGTAAACCCAGCTGTAAGGTTTTCTTACTACCCTGTATACTTTGTTTTTGAAACATGCTTTGCCATCTAAGGGACAGCATATTAGACTTATCTCCATCATGCGTCATGTAAAACCCTGATCATGATCATGTTGATGAACAAAATATATTAGATGAATGTTTATATGATCAATGTTCATGACCTTTGATTGTTCAACTTTTACCAATGAAATGCTTGAGTAAATCCAAAGGGAAAATACATTGACAATTATCCAAGTGCAACATCACACAATTCTGTTCAGTGATTCAGTTCTGAAACCAGAATAATAGTTCAGCAAAATGATAATGAAAAAGGCAAGTGTCGTGCAGAGTAAACAGACTTCTTTCATGAGTTACAAAATACTGCTAAATTAGATTAGGAACCTAGATTAGATTAGAGTTTGTCAAAGAATAGATTACATCATAAATCAGACTAGGTCGTATGAAGAGAATCACTCCCCTGCCCAGAGTTTCTTGCAGCTACTTTCACATCATACACTGTCTGTTCGAGTGTTTTTGATGTGTTTCATTTTAGATGTTCAGATACACATGTCGTGAAATGTTTTATTTTTATTCAGAAAATATACTAAAACATCAAAATCTTTTTCTGTTTGAATATTTATCCTCCAGGGCTGTCATGCCCAACAGATGGGTAGGGATATGGTCACTTTACTTTGTAAGGCTGTATTGCCATGCACCTCTCTGTCACAGTTGTACTAGTAGATGTATATAATTATGCAAAACAGTTGAAGATGGACACCGAAAGACTTGCATTAGACCTGTCTCACTTTTTTTCAGAAAAAGTGTGTTTGTAAACAAACAAGGTTAGTTTGGTCAGGTGATAAGTCTAAAATGCATATTGGTCATTTGAGCAGAAAACCAAATCATCTTAAAATTGAGCAGAAAACTTTCTTGCAGAATAAGGCAGAACTGAGGAAGCTCGTGGGTTGTTGGCTGCTGTTTAACAATGCTGCATAATAGTCAGTACTGTTCCATTAAATGTTGATTATGGATCAAGTTTAGAGTCATGATTTCATTTCAGCAGCATGCAGTTACATATTGACAAAATGTGTTTTTCACATGACTATGAATAAAATGATTTAAGCACTAGTGGATTATTACAACATTCCAGGTGAAACCCCTCCTAACATTGATAACTACAGAACTGTAAGGATGATCACCCATTGCTGCAAACTCAAGTGTTCTTGCTACTTTTTCTCACTGTAGGAAGGTGTACACTTCAGGGAAAAGTAAATTAATCAGCATGATTGTGGAAAGGTATTTTCTGATAAAATTTTACTTGGAACATACAGTGTGTGTGAGAGAGTGCATGTGTACCCACCAGATACTTGCATCTAGTTGCCTAGGATTCATTCACCAGAGCATAGGCTAAATTTGAAACTTTTTGAATAAAAGATTAAGTGTCTGGCATTGATAGGGTGGGATAGTGCGAAAGTGCTTTTGCTGATCTATTTTCTTATTTTCATTGTTACAGTCTTAATACAGACTTTGTGTGTTGGCGGGGACTGCTCACCAGGCTGTTGTGTACACCATATGAGAACCGGGATGGATGGATCATTGCTGTCACATTGTTCAGAGGGACATACTATTTATGTGAATTTGAGACGGAGGAAAAAAGACATGAGCGAGAGACGACCACAGAGAGACAGGACCAGATGTGTTACGGGGGCTGGAAGTTTGAGCAGTATCTTACTACAAGTACTGTATCTGCAATATTAGAATCCTTGCTTTGTGACGAATGTTTTGATCCCCCTTCATACATGTGCTTATAATTTTACCAAAGTTTTAACATGTGCAATACATGTTATTTTCCTCACACAGAAACTTTGGGTGGTGGGGTAGCCCAGTGGTTAAACTTAAAGCGTGCGTTTGTCATGTCGAAGACAAGGGTTTGATTCCCCACATGGGCACAATGTGTTAAGCCCATTTCTGGTGTCCCCCGCTGTGATATTGCTGGAATATTGCTAAAAGCAGCGTAAAACAAACCACTCACTCACATAGAAGCTGACATGCTGTAGCATGCCATGGTGACAGAACAATACTGTTCAACATGCTCTGTGGAACATTAAACTCAGTTTAACCCGCGAAGGTCCGGATTAGAATGAGCCTTCAGTAACCCATGCTTGTCGTAAGAGGGATTGGGTGGTCAGGCTTGCTGGCTTGGTTGACACATGTCATCGGTTCCCAGTTACGCAGATTGATGCTCATGCTGTTGATCACTGGATTGTCTGGTCCAGACTCAATTATGTACAGACCGCCACCCTATAGCTGGAATATTGCTGAGTGCAGCATAAAACTAAACTCACTCAATCCCTAAACTCAGTTTAATCATTCACGGTGTGCAACTGGAATGTATTACAAAGATTTGGGTATGGTTAGAATATTGCATATCAGCAGAACATAATATCTTACCAGTAATTGTGTTGATAGGGAGTTGCATTTCATCTTGAGCAAGGATGCTCTTGTTCATACTGCTTAAAGATCATAAAAAGAGGAAGTGAACTGAAAAATATGTGGCATGTTTTGTAGTAAATATTTTCCAAAAGAAAAGTTCATAATGTTCTTCAAAGGTATTTAAGCATGTTAAATATCTAACTTGCTAAGTAACACTGCTGAAATCACATGCTCCACAATCTGCTTCCAAAATCTTCTATGGTGTGGCCTAAAGGTTTTGATTCACTGTTGCAAGACAATTATTTTTCTTAACTGATATGTGATTCTTAGCAGCTCTAGATGTGCTGTTTCTGCTGTTTTTTCTTATTTCAAAACCAACAACATTGCTATCATTTTTGAATGTGTGAAATAACACCTTAGATTGTGATAGTTTTAGGAATATATAATAACAATCTGTAACAAGCAAGTGACCTGACAATACATTTCTGTTTTAACATATTTAACTGATATCATGTTAAATGAAAGTACATGTAGTTAGGGATTGATGTGGCTTTGAATCTGTGGGCTTTATAAGGACAAAAGGTGGTTTCCATTCAACCGCATTATTTTCTTTGAGGTTGTACTTGGCATGACTGTCAGCAGTAATTGTTGGCTGCAGATACACAGTCCAACAATACTAGTTGTGTATTGTCCTCACTTGCCCATGTGTTAACAGATGTAGAAGGAGGCAGCCCAGACACCAGTGTTCCTGTCAACAACAATGAAGGCTTCTGCTCAGTGGTGAGGACACGGCTGAATAAGCACTCTTTGGGTAAGTAGCTTAGATTCACATGAGAAATTATATCATCATAAATTTGAATGTGTTGAGCATACACTTGTGGATGTGGAGCCATCAGGGTCCCACCTATTATTGCAAGGCTAGGCCATTTTCAGATGTTGCTTACAAATGTTCTTCCCAAAGATAAGAACATTGAAACATGATACTGGATATTTGATATGATCTTGGTTCTAGGTCTGTGAGCATCACATCCATGTACTCTTCTAAAAAGTCTTGTAAACAGTAGTGGGGTTATTAGTATTTCATGAATGTTAATGAAGCTACGAAAAGGGGACTGCTTTCTGAACGTTCTACAGCACTGGTCATTGTGTGTCTTCGATAGCTGGAAGTTATTTATCCAGAAGGATGTCATTAAACTGAGAGGTTTTTGGGTAGCTGGAGACATAGGACTAAATGATGCTCCAGTTAACACCTTTAGGGATCAAGGATCAATTATATTTTGGTAAGGGCAGCATGAAGTCATGAAGTCAAGATGGTTCATGATACATTTTCTGGTTGGATATGTGATAAAAGTTGGAAAGAAAATGAGATAGTTGGCTTCTGCATTTGTGTGTAATGCCACCTTTCTACTAGTTCATTTTTACATGTTGTTTTTAATGTGTGTCGCCCTAAAAGTTCAACAAAATGCTGATGTTTTACAGCAGGATCGGCTAAGTCATTATATGAATGTATCAATAAATCTAACAGTTACAGGAATCATTTATATTGCACTGACTCAGGTTCTTGGACTATATGTATTTATGTTTTTTTATAAATCCCTTTTTATTCATCCCTTAGAATATACATGTAAAAACATTGAATATGAATATAGTACACATGAATATAGTTGTAATAATTATGCATGACTCTATGTATTTGTTGGCAGTATTTGGAGGGGAGGTGGATTGTGTCGATCTGGCGCATGGCTCCAAGAACAAGTATGTAGAATTAAAGACATCTCGAAGGATTGATCATCCAAGACAGAGAGAGAACTTTCACAGGTTTGACATTTGTTTTATTTGAACATAGTGTTCAAAACTGGTCTGTTAGTAGATTCATAAATGTGCAGACTGTTCCATCCCTAACAATATCTGAGCTATGTTATATAAGAGATCACAAAGAATTTCCCAGAAGGTTTATGGTTCCATACGCCATCTCTTCTTGTCATCTGATTGGATGAAAGTTTTTACAGCTGGAACCCTCACAGCTTTATTCTTTCTCTCATAAACAAGCAGGAAATGCAGATAGGAGAGATGCAGGATACTTACACAAATATACCAAATATTTAGATTTTACGAAATTTGTTCTCACAGTTCCGTTTGATGCATCAGTCTATTTTCTTTTTATCCCCCGCAACAACGAAGTTGCGGGGGATATAGAAACGAGTCTGTCCGTCCGATCACACTTTGTCCGAAGCATATCTCCTAAACTATTCGTGATAGCTTAACCAAACTTGTTACACCTGTCAACCATGATCCCTAGATGTGCCTTTTGGGGGTAAGACCCAGATGCGAAAATTATGTTTTAGCTTACATTCAGCTGTACTTATGCTTATACCTACCTGTTAAGCTACCTACCATAAGTCGAATGGAAACAAGGTGTAAACACAAAACAACCCCACCTGTGCAATTACCTCCCCTTCCCTGTCACCAATCTTTCCTGTGCTCCGTAGTCGTCTCGGCAGTTTGCCGAATGTCGTCCGTCTCGGTATGATCGTCCTCCTCGTTATGATTATGACAGGTCAAGGTCAGCTACTCCTTCCCGTTATGGCTGGGCGCGTTCTTATGAAGAGGATTACTCGTCTCCACGTCGTCGTTCTCCTTATCTTTACGCGCGTAGTCGTTCTCCCCGACATCGACCTCCAACAGCAACTATCACTTCATCCAGTGTGTACCCTGATGTCTCGCCGTCTGGTTCGGTGTCCGCTCCTCCCAGTCTTGCCTTACCACCCGACATCTTAACTCAATTGCGTGCTATGCTTTTTCCGTCTGTCGACCCTGTCGACCCTATCTCTACGGTGCCTCCTGCGCCTCAGTCCTCGCTCTTGAAGGTTGACTCAACCCCTACTTTGGAGGAAGGGGATGACAGTCCTCCTCGACCCCCACGGGAAAATGAAGTGTTGGCATGGATGTCCAACTTTATGGACGCTTATGATGCATCAAACCCCACTGCTGGTTTTTTCAAAACACCCCTGACTCCTTTTCGGCCGCCTTCAGCTTTTATGAAACTTTCTACGGACATGAACGAGTCTTTTGCGTCGGTGTTGCCATCTCAACCATTTGCTAAACCGGGAATGCGCCATAAGTTTCCCATTTACTGCCCCTGTCTCTAAAGATCTTGACTGGGCATTACTGTTTCCCTACACTACTTCCTACATGACTGAAGACAAGCATCTTGAATCTGTAGACGCTGCGGCACGCCATCAACTGTTACCATTAGCCATGGTGTCCACTGCAATGGATTGTCTCAATAAATATACTCAGCAGCAAAAAAACGTCAGTACATATTCAAAATTAGATATGCACTGTAATCGAATCATTACAGAAATGGACATAATTAGCGGATCACAAACATTTTTTGTGTACAATATCTTGACACACCAATGAACAACTCAGCATAATTTTTAAGACATTACGTGAAAGTTTGCAGTCCATTCAGACCCTTGACTTCAGTATCTACTGTGACCACCACGAGCGGCAATAACTGCAGCACAGCGTCTATGCATGGAGTGCACCAATCGATTGATGAAGGCCATTGGCACCTGGAACCACACTCTGAAAAAGGCCTGGCGCAATATAATCGGCTGTGTTCAACCTTGGTATGACATTATTCAGTCTCCTCTGAATTTCATCCCAAAGATGTTCAATTGGGTTTAAATCAGGACTAAGGGATGGCCACTGCATAATGTTGACACCGTTCTGCTGTAGGAAGTCCAGTGTAGCTCTGGCAGTATGGGCCCGAGTGTTATCATGCTGGAAAATGTTGTTCCGGTGACGTGCGAAATGTGGTATGACGTGGGGTGTGAGAGCTTGGTCGATGTAGCGCACCGCTGTGATGCAGCCTCCTCTCCCTGGACCAAGGTTCTGGAACCCCACAGGACCCACTCTCTGGTTCAGGCCTATTCCACCCCATACCAAGATGCTTGCACCTCCCCATGAGTCTCTTTCCATAACACATTGGTCTGAGTAACGCTGGCCACGACGTTGCCATATTCTTGTTCTGCCATCTGCAGTTGATACGCAGTACCGACTCTCATCTGTGAACAGAACAGTTCTCCATTGCCTATATTGCCAGTTTTGGTGGTGTAGGGCAAACTGTAGGCGTTCACGCCGATGACAAGGGTGAGGATAGGTCCACGGTAAGGTCTACGGCAATGGAGGTTCCCGCTGCTAAGACGTCAGCGTCCTGTATCAGTACTGATTGGTCTTCCTTGTGTTCCCACTGTCTGGCGTGCTGTTTCGGATGCCTGCATGAAGGGATTCTGTACATGCTGTCGCACAACATGGTCTTGTCGTGATGTTGTCACCCTTAGTCTGCCAGTACGGGGGCGATCATTTGTGGTGTTGGTGGCCCAGATGACTCGTATGTTCAGTGACTTTTGACAAGGGGTAACGCCACCTGACTAGACAAGATTCCGCTGTTAACGTCGTCCCCCTCTTTGGGGACTCCAACGGATGGTCTGACGGAAGCCATCAACATGTTGGTAGAGAAGGCGTCCGTGTTACGCCTGGGATCCTCAGTGACGTCACCCGGCTATTACTCCCCTATCTTCCTCGTTCCGAAGAAGAACTCGTCCAAAATGCGCCTCATTTTCAATCTGAAGCATTTCAATGCCACATATCTCCATCCGGTTTACTTCTCCACTTTTGCCGAGAAACAGGGGTTTGTTCCGTCTTCTGCTATGCCTCCACAGGTGGCCAATTTCTTAGTTCACCTTCGGTCCTCACGTCGTCTCAAGGGTTCGACCATCTCGACTTATCTGGCTGCCATCAGTTCAGTTGTCTCGTCCGATTTGGGTGACAAGCTCACGAAAGTTCCTGCCCTTCAAAAACTCTTTTGGGCTTTTTCTGTGGAGGATCAAGTTTGTAAATTTTGTTCTCCTGCTTGGGATCTTAACGTCGTTCTGCATGATCTTACTAGCGACTCCTATGAACCTCTGGATATGGTCTCTTTTGACCTTCTGACTCAAAAGACAGCGTTTCTCATTTCTTGCTACGGCGGCTAGGGTGTCTGAGCTTCATGCTATTGACTATGGTCGGGTACAGTTTGACTAATGTGTCCATGGCGATGTCCATCTTGGTCTATGGTGGGATTTTCTTGCCAAAAATCAGCTTCCTGGCCAAGAGGCTTGAATGTTTCACATTCCTCCACTTTCCGCCTTCCTGGGTTCTCAAGACCAGGATGACTTGTCCCTTTGTCCGATGCGTGCTTTATGCATTTACCTTCAACGTTCTAAATCACGTCGAAAGAATTTTCTCCGTTTATTCGTTCCGTTGTCTCCAACCTCCAAGTCAGAGATCACCAGAAATGCTCTTTCTTACTGGTTAAGGGCTGTGATTCTCCGGGCATATGCTGCGCAGAATATGGATTCCTCGTCCTCTTCCCACCCTCACGAAGTTCGGGCGCTTGCGTCAACATTGGATCTCGATGGTAACTGTTCCCTCCAGGCTATTTTGGAAGGCTGTTGTTTTAAATCCACTTCGGTTTTCGCCTCTCACTATTTGCGGGATATCTCGACGGCAGATGTTGCAGGCATCCAGCAATTCGGGCCCTTAGTTGTCGCGCACAACAACTTCCCTAAACCCGTCGTCAGTGACTCTTGCCTTAGGTATCTCGACTTCGTGTACTTACTGCAATAAACTGTTGGTGAACGTGATTCACTCTTGTTCTTTATTGCCAGACAGTCTTACGATTCCATGGTTTCCTTTACCGCTTGTTGTGGTTTAGTTTCCTTGGTTATTGCTCACGTTGGACTTTGTTACCTGAGCTGCGACTCATGCTATATCTTCATCGTTCTTAGTGAAGTTCTGTCATTGATATTTGCATCCTCCATCATTCCTCGCTTTTCTACTTGGTTGCATACAGAGCCAGTTGGCCTTATGCTCTTGTGGATTGTTGCGATTGTGTAGTTATTGTACTTTCTTTATGTTTTGGGTACAAACAACCCTCCTTGTGAAGTCTGTCAATACTACGTGTCACCAGGGGTGTGTCGGCTTCACATAGGCAATTATGTGTTTGGGCCTTGTCCCCCCACGCCTGCCGACGGATAAAGCATAAGTACGGCTGAATGTAAGCTAAAACATGTTTTTTTTAGATTAAAAACATTGTTTTAACAAGCTTACAATCAGACGAACGGTTTAGTCCCACCCATCCACCCCTCTGGACTTTGGCCTGTTTGTTGCTCCTCTACGGCTTTCTGGCCTTAGGCTCCGGAAAGATTGGTGACAGGGAAGGGGAGGTAATTGCACAGGTAGGGTTGTTTTATGTTTACACCTCGTTTCCACTCGACTTACGATAGGTAGCTTAACAGGTAGGTATAAGCATAAGTACGTCTGAATGTAAGCTTGTTAAAACAATGTTTTTAATCTAAAAAAAACATTTTTTTTCCCATTGAAACATGACTTAGGCTGTGACTATGATGATGTCATCTTGTCCGGAGCAGATCTCCCAAACTATACATGCTAGCTTCCTCAAACTTGGTACATATGTCAAGCATGATCCCTAGATGTGCCTTTTGGGGTTTAGACCCAGATATGAATTTTATTTTTTGCGTTTTCCATGGAAATGTGACTTAGGCTGTGGCTATGATGATGTCATCTTGTCCGGAGCAGATCTCCTAAACTATACATGCTAGCTTCATTAAACTTGGTACACATATCAAGCATGATCCCTAGATATGCCTTTTGGGGTTTAGACCCAGATATGAATTTTATTTTTCGCTGTTTTCATGGAAACATGACTTATGCTGTGACTATGAGGATGTCATCTTGTCCGGAGCAGATCTCCCAAACAATACATGCTAGCTTCATCAAACTTGGTACATATGTCAAGCATGATCCCTAGATATGCCTTTTGGGGGTTAAACCCAAATATGAATTTTATTTTTTGTGGTTTCCATGGAAACATGACTTAGGCTGTGACTATGTGGATGTCATCTTGTTGCATTTCCATGGCAACAAGTTAGGCTTCAACTGAATTTGATGGTAGTGCTCCTTTCTGGAGCAGATCTTAAAAACCTTTCAATACTCTCCTTCCACTTTGCTGTATACACTCCAAAACATTTGACATAATCATAACTAGTAGACATATTCATAAAGAGTATTTTGTCGTTGCGGGGGATATTGATGACGTTGTCTTCTTGTTGGTCCAGATACAAGCTCATCAAATGGTGGGCCCAGAGTTTCCTTATAGGCATTGAGAAGATCGTCTGTGGTTTCCGAGACGATGATGGAATAGTTCACAGCCTTGAGGAGTTCGCGACACAAGGAATACCTGACATGGTCAAGGTAGTTTCACATAACCCTCCTCATAAACCTCACAATAACCATCCCCTGCACCACAAACATGCATGCATGCAGACATTGACACTAACAGACACAAAATATATACCAGTTGTGACCAAGGGAGTATACACTAACACATAACACCAAACACACAGAGACACTCAAACATACTAGCGACACCAAGGTAATACACCCACACACATACATACTCACATGCAAATTAGCTATGTATTTTGGAAAAATTGCAACATTTTAGGCACCAGTTTTACGTTCAACAAAAGGTGTAACCTCCATAGGGACTTACAGGAAAAATACTACCCTGTGTCCTCTTTCCCATATGGGTAATAAACACTAACACATAACACCAAACATACAGAGACACTCAAACATACTAGCGACACCAAGGTAATACACCCACACACATACATACTCACATTAACACATAACACCAAACATACAGAGACACTCAAACATACTAGCGACACCAAGGTAATACACCCACACACATACACAGATATATTGTTCTCATATCTGTCATCAGAAATTGCAGCATTTAAGGCACCAGTTTTACTTTTTCACTCGAGAAAAACTTTGGTAACAAAGAGTTGTCCTATTTCAGGGTATTCGGAATCCATGGAATGCAGCAGTGTGCTTCAACTTTCTTGACATGTTCCTTGATTTTCTCAAAGAGACAGTTACCACAGATGATCCAAGGTTTGTATAGAGGTTGACAAAGATAACACCCATTCTTCATCCATTTCTCTTCATCTGGAAGTCCAGGTTCAAAATGCACCCTAGCAACTTATGCTGGTTGTAAGAGGCGACCTATTGGATTGGGTTGTCAGGCCCGGAGACTAGGTTTACTGCATGATATGGGGCGGTGGGGCAGCCTAGTGGTTAAAGCGTTGGCTCGTCACACCGAAGACCCGGGTTCGAATCCCCACATGGGTACAATGTGTGAAGCCCATTTCTGGTGTCCCCTGCCGTGATGTTGCTGGAATATTGCTAAAAGCGGCGTAAAACCAAACTCAGTCAGTCAGTATTGCATGATATCATCATTGTTGTTGATGTTAGTGATCACGGGTTGAATATGTATAGGGTAATGTTTCCCAAGTGAAAAAATGAAACTGTTTCAACTGGAATTCCTTGTCTGTGTGTTAATGTCCTCCCCATAATGACTGTCTTGGTCAAAGGTTTTTGATGTCTAAAATGAACAAGGAAAGATATACAAAAACTTTATCATTATTCTCAAATCTGATTAATTAATTAGTAACTGACATTTTGAATTTTTAAACTTGTCCTATCTCACGGTATTCACCTCTCTTGTTCTTGTACGACCCTGTGTGGAAACGTGCTGTAGGCTTAGTTGAATCAAACTTTCTGGCCTCTGACCCCTGACCTCTGCCCGACTCCATAGCAGCACCTGTCAATCATCTCAATAAGCGTGCAGATCGCTCCGATTATCACCTGACAGCCTGCCCTTGTCATTCTCTTACTTGTCGCCACGCTGTCTAGACGTGTGTTTTTCCAAGGAATTTGACTGTTTTCTCAATCATGGGCAAATCTAGTCGCAGTGCGGCATGGAACAAACAAAAGCATTGCGATAGGTGCAATAGTAATTTCTCTGCAGCAGACCCGCATTTGCTTTGCATGGACTGCTTAGGCCGGTGTGACTGGTAGGAACGATGTACTTTTTGTGCTGGACTGAATGACGACGCCTTCTCAGAATATCACCAGGTAGCATCCAGGAGGACAGCTGACTGAGATCGTTTTAGACCCGGCGAGGGTCCTTCTTCTTGGAAGCGGTCTAAGCCTGATCGTCGTTAGAAGACTCCCGTTCGTCGCTCTCATACTCCATCACCTAACGAAGAATTTTTGGACGATGCGTCGGAATATCTCAGCGAGAACTTACAACAATTATTTCGTCCCCAGACGTCCAGTCGTGTCGCCACTGGTGATCGTTCTCCATCCAGGGTAGTCGTATTATCTACCTCTACTACGCAAGGCCGTCCAGCTTCCCTAGTGACAGTTCCACAAGGCTCTAGTCATTCAAGGGGCGTGGCTTCCAGTACGGCTTTCGGATTGGCTGGCACTCACTTACTTTGGATTCGGCGCTCTCCAGCTCGCTGATTGGTCGGACGTTTTCTGCCAGTGAGCCACTTGTATCCAGTTTGGCGCTAAGGTCTAGCTCAGCGATCGCTCCCGATTCGGCGCTTTCCCATCAGCCTTTGATATCTACCAGTTTGCCGACTTCGGTTTCGTATGCCGTCCCTCTGACACCCACTTTTTCCAGTTCGCCGTTTACTTCGAGCTTGGTGACTGTATCCAATGAGTCGATCCCTCCCGGTTCGGCGCTTACTATCAGTTCGGCATTTGTTACCAGAGCGCCGCTTACTGCCAGTTTGACGCTTACTCCCAGTTTGGCGCTTACTCTCAGTTCGGCGCTTGCTTCCATTTCGGCGTTTGCCTCCAGTTCGGCGCTTACCTTGAGTTTGGCGCTTCCTGCTGGTTCGGCGCTTGATCCCTGTTCGGCGCTTGGTTCCAGTTTGGCGCTTGGTTCCAGTTCGGCGCTTGCTACCAGTTCGACGCTGGTGCCTGGTGCACAGATCCTTCCCAGTGCGACGCTCTGCCAGTTTAACGCATACTCCTAGTGCGCTACTTGGTTCAACTTGGCCGTTGTTTCCTGGGCATCCGACTTTGTCTACGGTTCCTTACCCTCCAGGTGCGGCACTGCAATTGTCTTATTCAGCTCCTTCAGCGGGGGAAGTTAGTTCCACGAGAGCGGTGCTTTCTACAATCACTACTGCTACTTCAAGCGGACAACCTACAGCGGGTTCGGGTTTGTTTCCGAGTGCAACGCTTTTCGACTGTTCCGCTCACATCACTTCATCAACAGAATTTTACTATACCAGCGGGCTCCTCTTCAGCTGATAGTGGATCCATACGTCACTCCTCTTTGTCTTCCCCGGGTTCAAATCTGCCTACCCGTTCGGGAACTGCGTATGGTACCAGTTTCCTGGGACCCGTCTACTGATAGTACAGCATCTCACCACATGAACTTTAATGCTATCGTTCAGGCGGTGGCTTCAGCGTTGGGTCAACAAGTTTCAGTGCCTTCCTCGTCTATGCCGCCAGCCGGGCCTTCGACCGTACCGCTTCAACCCGTGGAGGAAGTTCCTCCGTCAGCCACGCCATCGCCTATTTCAGATGGTTCCTCATCCTCCAATGTGAGCATTGATGCTGTAGACGCGCCCCAACTGTTAGTTTGGATTGCGGATAATCTTCAGTTGCTTCACAGCAGATCACCGGCAGACTTGTTATCGAGCTTCGACATGAGACTGGGGGACTTTGGCTCCATCACCTTCCTCCTCGTCCCTGCATTATGCAATTGGCGGCCTCCCTGGACGAGGCATTCGACAATCTCAGAAAGATCAAGGATGGGTTTGCGACGCCCCGTTTCAACTTGGCGTCCTCTCATGTCCATGGCTTTTCCACCTTGATTACCTCCCCTCCGGTAGATGACGACATCACGTTGCTGGGTTCTAAACAGAGGGCCTACACTCCCTTCCGGGTAGAAGACCGCGAGTTGGCGCATCTGGACGGATCAGTTCGGAAGATTTTGGCTCCATTCAATCTTGTCCTGATGGCAACTGAAGCGGTGGCCATGTCGGTCTCTCATGCAACTTTGCCTCAGCAGGCGGACACTCGGGCGGTGATGGTCTTACTGCAGGAGCAGTTTCAAATTGTCTTGGATCAATTGGCTCTCATCTTCTCCTACATCACAGCGATGCGTCGTAGGGGCCCGTTGCACTTATCTTCATGGGAAGATACGACAGACCTCTTTCGCCAGCCTTGGTCGGGCAGATCCCTCTTCAACGGAGCCATCAGAGATGTAGCCACTAAGGTCGGACAAGACGCTCATGTACAAGTCTCGGTAGAACTGTTGAAGTTCCAGCCATTGCAGGTAGAGGACTCTTTATGTCAATGACGACCAGCTCGCTATGTACCGGTGAATCCAGATTTGCGTTCGGGAGCTCCTCCTTCCTTTCGGGGGAGAGGTTCTGGCAGAGGTCGTGCCTGCCGTCATCGCCGATCCTTCACGTCTTCCAGACCAACTCACGCTGCTGATCAGTCCTCCATGCAGAGACCAGACAAACAGTGACTTGCTGATATCAGAGCGAGACTGGATCCTTCCGCCTCCAGTCATTCCTATCAAGGTGTCCCTAGTAGGCAGAAGACTTGGGACTTATGCCCTCAACTGGACCATCTTGGACGACCCTTACGTGCTTTCAACACTGTCCAAGGGGTATCAACTTCCGGTCGTTGGCAATCCTCCTCTCACCTAGCTTCCGGATCACAGGACGTATCCTGCTTCGCAGACGGCTGTCATGCGATCCACAATAGAGACGTTGCTACAGAAACTTGCAATCGAATCCCTGGGCTCAAACCCTGCTGACCCAGGGTTCTATTCTCCAATATTTTTGGTACCGAAGAAAGACTCCGACAAGTTGAGGCTCATCTTCAACATGAAGGTCTTCAACGAGATGTTTCTACAACGTCCGCCTCACTTTTGTATGGTGTCTGTGGCTCTCCTCAAGACTATCATCAAGCCGGGGGATTACATGATCAGCCTCGACCTTCAGGATGCGTACCTCCACATCCCGATGTTCCCAGATCATCGCAAGTTTCTTCGCTTCGTCTTCGAGGGCACCCATTATCAATGGCATTCTCTCCCTCCCACTCCGACAGAGTGGAAGCTACATCCCCATGTGTTCCAGACCTTCTGCTTTCCGCTGACGACTCCAATAGTGGATCTCTTCGCCACCCACTTCAACAACCAGCTACCTCTGTTCGTGTCTCCGATTCCAGATCCTCTTGCTTGGGGTCACGGCGCTTCTAGCCATCCTAAACGCATACGCATTTCCTCCAGTGGCCCTTCTTCCACGATACTACTGAAACTGCGCATCGACTCAGCGGATGACACTGCTTTTGGTCGCGTTGCCCTACTGGCCAGCCAGGGGTTGGTTCGTAGATCTACAAGAAAGGGCCGAACCAGATCCTGTACCACTACCAGACCGTGCCGATCTTCTGGTCCACCCACACTCCGATCACCTGCATTGGTGCCCGCTCACACTCCATCTTCACGCTTTGACGATCTACATAGGTCGTTAACTGCTAAGGGATATTCTAAGCGAAGTCGCTACTGCCATCACTACAGCGCATCACACCTCCACTAGATCTCTCTACGATGAAAAGTGGAAGCATCTCCACCGACGGCGTCACCACAGGTGGTTGCAGAGTACCTCCAACATCTTCGTAACTCCAAGAAGCTGAAGGGTTCTACACTGTCTACTTACCTGGCTGCTCTTAACACTGTTATTGCATCGGCCTCGGGGGTGAAGGTATGTACAGTTCCTGAGCTCCAATCTCTCCTCAGATCGTTTAAGCTTGCTGATCAGTCCCGGAGGAGGAGAAGGACTTCGAACATGTCTCCTTTAAGACCTTCTTTCTCATGGCTTTGGCTACTGCTGCACGCATCTCTGAGCTACACTCCCTCGACATCTCCCTGGTGCGTTTTGAGAGGTCAAGACATGCCAAAGTCTTCCTTGGGGTTAGATAGGACTTCATCGCCAAGAATCAACTACCTGTTCACCCGGACCGCACGTTTACGATCCCGCCGCTGTCCTCTATATTGGGTCCTGATGACATGGAAG